ACCAGAATTCTTGTAGGAATTACCAAATGATTCTGATTAATTTCGTTAAATTTAACCAAAATGCCTTCAATCATATACGTTTTGTTGATACAATCAAACGATTTTTCTCAGTGTTCTAATACCAAAATGTCGAGGAAAACTTCATAAGAATGTTCAAACTCCTGACCTGTCGCATCGAAGACACAATCGCGCTCACTGCAGAATTCTATTTTTTATTTTATACTGATTCCTCTATCGATATCGAAATTATCGCGCTGTACGCGGGTCCCTTAATCCGCTGTATCCCCGAGCACAGAGAACGTAACGCGCCGATTGGTAATCTTTAATCTTTTGTAGCGCCGAAACTACATCTTTCTCAGCATTTTGGTATTAAGATTTTCGTTTCCAAATCATCTTAAGAATCTACCATTAACGGCTGATTCGTCAAGTCTGAGACACCCTGTATATATAAACACATGTACATAAGCACACGCACGTAGGATACCTTTGCATCGCGTGGCTACGCCTCTTGGAGGATCTCCCTCTTAAAACGCGAGAGAAGTTCCTTTCTTCGCGTAAGCCATCGAAGGGAGCATCCTCGAAGGATCGAGGAGCATCTTCTCGCGCGACAGAAACCCCCTTTCATACGAGGCGGCACCGATTTATAATACCATTTACAATCGGGAGACGTCGGGGATCCCAGGAGGGGGAGCTGGGTCCATTTTCTTCGCGAGAGAGAAGCATTGTGCCATAAAATAAGAGAAGCGCGCATTTCGCTTCGCTCCCTCTCGTGTCTCCCGTGAATAGATCGGCCTCGCGCACATCGCGGTGCACCGAGAATCGTAAATACGATCGAACCGGCATCTCGGTTCGCGCCGGCAACTCCGGCAAAATTATCCCTCTTCCGGCGAGGGAGATGGGGGGGACACGAGCCGGTTCGCTCGTCTTGAGAAATTCCGTGTTATTTCCTCGAGGATCGAGAAAATGGAAATTGTACAGTCCAAGGAGCAGACAATTTGACAAAAGTGAACATTTTCGCTCCAACGACATCAGGAATAAACTTGACGAAGAAGATACGATGAATGTAATATACAGGGTGTCCCAAAACTCATAATCAATCTTTCGAAGACAGATTCCTGGGATCATTTGGAGACGATTTTTCCTCAGCGAAAATGTCGACGAAGCCATCATTTTTTGCATGTTCTCGATTTTTGTCATCATATATCTTTGCAATTAAGTCTTCAGATGATCCCAGGAATCTGTCTTTGAAAGATTGATTATGAGTTTCGGGACACCTTGTATATAGTAATTAGTGTACTTAATATTTATAAAAGTAACATAAATGTGAAAAAGAGCATTTCGTTTAAGCAGGCTGGGAAAAATCTCCGCGAGTGAGAAAAACGAAGTAGTAAATTCCGGTTTTTACCGGACCCGGATATCATCCAAAGAAATAAACTGGCAAAAACCATGAAAATGGCTCGTGTGTGACAATGAAATATATTTATGTAGCTTTATGCAAGAAGATATTTTTAATTAATAAATCATACTAATCACTCTACAGTTTAAAGAAACGAAACAAATATGATAAAAAGTCTTAATTTAAATTAATATATGAAATATATTTTTCAAATAAAAACTTTGGAAATAGAATTAAAAATTCTTATGAATATAGATTTAATTCGCCCTCGGCATTCAATTTTGTAACAAAATAATTTATTTTTCACGTTGCTTTTTCGCGTTTCTGTCGCCTTTTAATCTATCGCGAATTTTATTTTGGATAAAGCTTAAATTATAAAACAAGCGGTAAACATAAAATATTTTCCACTTTAACATTTTTAATGGAAGGATCAGTTTTTGCCGAGATTTTGCGAAAAATGCCACCGGCATGGATTTTACCGAAAAAGTGTGAAATTTTGCCATATTTAATTGATTTTAAAGGGGATGCTAAAAGATGACAAGTTCGGTCCATTTCTCGATTGGAAACAGCTATTCGCATACGGTTTAAACTGTCGACACTCGCGTTATAAATTTAACTCATACGTGTTTCGTAACAGATGACATGCATCGTGCATTATTCAGAAATTCACAAAGACGCATCTCGATCTGAATAACGGCAACCGCGGAATACATCAAGAGATTTTCTTAAAAGGAGCCGTCTTTCCTTCCGCCTCCTCCCTCCTCTCTCTCTCTCTCTCTCTCTCTCTCTCACGTGCCTCGCGGAAAATATATTTAAACCCTGATACGCGCAACTCGCCACGTGTAATATCACGTACAATATTGGATTGTCCCCCATTCCTTTCCGAGTAAATTTTTGCACTCGACAGAGATTGTTAAACGTAAAATCCAATGGCTTTCGTTGCAAGAAATAGTATTCTACCGATGGTCGTTTTCAAAAATGCGAATCGAGAACCTAACCTTTCAAAAGTAACAATTCCCAAAATTATTTCTCGAACTGTTTTTCTCATTTCAAGTTAATCGGAATAGATTGGAGTCCACGGAAAATATATATCCTTTCGTGAAAATATAGGAGATCAATTCTATAGAGGAGATAAAGTCTTCAAAATATTCAGGAACTTTATTGTCAGCAGTGGACTTCTCTCTCTTTCTCTCTCTTGAAAAAAAAAAAAGGAAACAGCTCCGAGATTGCATCCTTCGAAATATATCTGGTACGCGTTGTCGGGTGAAATTTCATTTTGTATATCGCGCGGTTTACGACGATCGTAGTAAAAAACTTTGTAGCATCCTCCCCGTCTTCCGGTTATTCCGGAATTTGTTGTAAAGGGAAATTGTTCGTTACCTTACGGCGTAAAAAATTTCACGAGATTGCGAGAGGAACGTCACTCGAGATGTCGTTCGCTACTTGGTGCAGCGAGGCGAACCCCACGTGCATTCTTCTGCTCCAACGATGCAGCCGGGCGAATTTTATTATTGCATTATATTCAACGAGAAACGTACACTGGTCCGTGACGAAATTTTATCCCGCTAAATAGACCGGATCGCGTGGGATCGAAGTTGATTATTCCTGCATGCTCCGAAATTGCATTCGGGAAAGAGCGCGATGCACTCCGGAAATAGCGAGTGCGCGACTAAACCAAGTCCTTTTCTTTCTTTTCGACTATTTTTGCGTTCCGCGTACGAAATAGAGATTCTTTTTATTCGGGAATATGGGGATAGAAATCGCTAAAAAAATAGACTCAATAAAGAAACGAGTTCTATAAACGAGATTCGAAATAAAAAAGAGCAAAATAGTTAGCATGAAGGATATATATCGATTTCCTTCCAAAAACGCATTCTTGAAATTATATTACTTAAGGATGTATTGGACAAACCATCTGTCTCAAAAGTTAATCCAAAGTACCAAAAATTAAAGTTGGGCAGAATACGAATTCTAATTGATCAAAAATTTTTTAAAAATCACGAAATCATACTTCAAAGTATTCTTTAATATAAATAGGTCTTGATTTCCAAGAAAATGTTGCCACATTTTATCATCAATATTGCGTCAAACCGATAATCACAGTTATTTTGTAATAATAATTTCAAAAGGAGCAAGTAAATCGTTTGAAAACATTGTGGGAACATTTTTACATGTATGAAGAATATAATATTAGAAAATGAAATTTTTATCATTGTTTTTTTATAGTTTGTGAATAATTTATTACCTGTCTCTTGAACGTTTACATAAGATCCTATGTTAAAATCGCAAAATTCAAAAATTAATAACTTTTAAAGGAGCGAGTAAAAAAATTTGAAATAATTCATGACGATTTAGAATGTTATTAAGAATGTTAAATTCACGGCGATCTCATTGTAATATATCTCCAATACATCCTTAAATAATTATATATTCTTAAGGTGACAATTACAATATTAAAAGAAGACTATAATACTGTTGAAATTTAAAATTATTAAATTCTTCCGAGAGGACTATAAATTATTGCGTATATACGAAACAATGAACGCGTTAGTTTAAGGATGTATTGGACGGACCGTCTGTCTCAAAAGTTAATCCAAAGTACCAAAAAATTAAAGTTGGGCAGAATACGAATTCTAATTGATCAAAAATTTTTTTAAAATCACGAAATCATACTTCAAAGTATTCTTTAATATAAATAGGTCTTAATTTCCAAGAAAATGTTGCCACGTTTTATCATCAATATTGCGTCAAACCGATAATCACAATTATTTTTTAATAATAATTTCAAAACGAGCAAGTAAATCGTTTAAAAACTTTGTGGGAACATTTTTACATGTATGAAGAATATAATATTACAAAATGAAATTTTCAGTATTGTTTTTTTATAGTTTGTGAATAATTTATTACCTGTCTCTTGAACGTTTACATAAGATCCTATGTTAAAATCGCAAAATTCAAAAATTAATAACTTTTAAGGGAGCAAGTAAAAAAATTTGAAGTAATTCATGACGATTTAGAATGTTACTAAGAATGTTAAATTAAAAATTCACGGCTATCTCATTGATTGTAATATATCTCCAATACATCCTTAATAAGAAATATTTCGAATTAATCGCTCGCCTTTAAAAGTCGGACATTTAAATTATAATTTTAATCGTCGATCTGCGTAAATGTCACGACATTTGCGACAGTTATACGATATCAAAACAAGTGAATAACGTCTTTTGCACCTTCATTGTTCGAGCTGGATAAACAGGCGACTCTCAACGATATTTAATAAGTAATTAATTGAGACGCGCGCTAATTGCAGAGTCCGATAATTAAGTAGTATAATTACCGATGATTAATTCCCGAAGTAAAGCTCTTTCTCCAGAAATCAGAATAAGAGTAAATTTTTATTGATATTATATTTGCATTCGTATATCCTGCCGATATTGTAAATTAATTCTTAATTAAATGTGATGTAACATTTTTGCTCGAGCGATTTAATAATTAAGAGCGTTGCAAAAGTAATTTTTAATGCCACGCCTTCTCTCTCTCTCTCTTTCTCTCTCTTTCTTTCTTTCTTTCTCTCTCTCTCTCTCTCTCTCTCTCTCGTACTTACCTCGATACTGAAATAACCCCTGTCAACATAATCGCCCAGGAAGAGATATTTGGTGGAGGAAGGTGGACCGCCCACCTCAAATAATTTCATCAGGTCGTAGAACTGTCCGTGAATGTCGCCGCATACTGAAAAAAGAAAAAGATAAATTAGACGGATGGAAGGCAGAGAAGGAGCCCTTTAAAGGTGAAACTAGGAAAGAATTAATTTGCGAAAAGCATTTTTTGCGACGCAAATTATGTTAAACAACGCCAATATTGCTCCGAAGCATTTAATTACGCGAGATAAAAGCGCTACTTGAAAAAAGGTATTCGAAATTAGCCGGCGCGCGATTAATATAGCGCGATTAAAGCGCATCTTGCGTCGAATATATAGACATTAGCGACCCTTGAGAGTCGGTAAACTTGTTTGCGAACGTTTCAAAGTGAAATTACGCTCCCATGTCGCGGAGGGTGCGGGAAGGAAGCGGGAAATGTTGAGAAACTTCAAGTTCTCGAAACCGAAAACTATTAGCGACCAGAACCCAGAAGTGACATCGCAGTTACTTTGGCGCTTCGCTATTCGTTTTCATATTGTTTCGCATTATGTGCATGTGTGTATGCTTTTACTAAATTATACGAGTCCAATAAAGGCTATGACAATAGAATATGTGCCTAATCTTGTAGAAATATTCTCTCATCTTGCTCAAGATGTTTTCGTTGAAAATCTCAAGTAGGGAGAAAATTTTTTCGTGCAAGTTTTTAAAATAAATTTCTAAATCTCATTGCACGTGTTTTCTAATGTTTTTCGTTCATGCGAGGAGAAACATTGAGCATCCCAAGTTTTAACTAGAGATTTGTAAATGTATAGAAAATAAATTGAATAATTCTTCATAAGATCAGCATTTTTTTACTTGCGTAAAATTTTCATTTTTTTAGCATCAAAAATTGCAATACGGAATATATATTGCATATTTAATATTTTGTTAAATAATTAAAAATGAAAAAAATGAAAATAAAAATTATTGAATATATAAATAAAAATAGATATATTAATTGATATAATTTAAACACATAATTTGCTGTCGACCATTTAGAATATGAGAGTAAAATTATCACAGAGGATTTTTTAAAGAACTGAATCCAAGTAAAAAATTCCACGAGATAATTCTCTGATTTTTCTAAATACAAAAAAGAAATCTCTGAGAATTCCAAATTTGTCATGTTTTTCCAGGGACTAGACAACCTTCTGCAATAATTGATTGTCGTTGCATGTTTATAAAATCGAGAAACTCCTCTCGATTTTTCTCTTTGGCGTTTTTTATTTTATTTTATCTTGCATTATTTCTTTTATCTTTTATTTGAAGTCATTAACACGTTATTAATGAAAATAAAAGATTGTGATTTTTAAAAGAACTGAATCCAAGTAAAAAATTCCACGAGATAATTCTCCGATTTTCCTAAATACAAAAAAGAAATCTCTGAGAATTCCAAATTTGTCATGTTTTTTCAGGGACTAGACAACCTTCTGCAATAATTGATTGTCGTTGCATGTTTATAAAATCGAGAAACTCCTCTCGATTTTTCTCTTTGGCGTCTTTTATTTTATTTTATCTTGCATTATTTCTTTTATCTTTTATTTTAAGTCATTAACACGTTATTAATGAAAATAAAAGATTGTGATTTTTAAAAGAACTGAATCCAAGTAAAAAATTCCACGAGATAATTCTCCGATTTTCCTAAATACAAAAAAGAAATCTCTGAGAATTCCAAATTTGTCATGTTTTTTCAGGGACTAGACAACCTTCTGCAATAATTGATTGTCGTTGCATGTTTATAAAATCGAGAAGCTCCTCTCGATTTTTCTCTTTGGCGTCTTTTATTTTATTTTATCTTGCATTATTTCTTTTATCTTTTATTTTAAGTCATTAACACGTTATTAATGAAAATAGAAGATTGTGATTTTTGAAAGAACTGAATCCAAGTAAAAAATTCCACGAGATAATTCTCTGATTTTCTTAAATACAAAAAAGAAATCTCTGAGAATTTCAAATTTGTCATGTTTTTTCAGGGACTAGACAATCTTCTGCAATAATTAATTGTCGTTGCATGTTTATAAAATCGAGAAACTCCTCTCGATTTTTCTCTTTGGCGTTTTTTATTTTATTTTATCTTGCATTATTTCTTTTATCTTTTATTTTAAGTCATTAACACGTTATTAATAAAAATAGAAGATTGTGATTTTTAAAAGAACTGAATCCAAGTAAAAAATTCCACGAGATAATTCTCTGATTTTCTTAAATACAAAAAAGAAATCTCTGAGAATTTCAAATTTGTCATGTTTTTTCAGGGACTAGACAATCTTCTGCAATAATTAATTGTCGTTGCATGTTTATAAAATCGAGAAACTCCTCTCGATTTTTCTCTTTGGCGTTTTTTATTTTATTTTATCTTGCATTATTTCTTTTATCTTTTATTTTAAGTCATTAACACGTTATTAATAAAAATAGAAGATTGTGATTTTTAAAAGAACTGAATCCAAGTAAAAAATTCCACGAGATAATTCTCTGATTTTCCTAAATACAAAAAAGAAATCTCTGAGAATTCCAAATTTGTCATGTTTTTCCAGGGACTAGACAACCTTCTGCAATAATTGATTGTCGTTGCATGTTTATAAAATCGAGAAACTCCTCTCGATTTTTCTCTTTGGCGTTTTTTATTTTATTTTATCTTGCATTATTTCTTTTATCTTTTATTTTAAGTCATTAACACGTTATTAATAAAAATAGAAGATTGTGATTTTTAAAAGAACTGAATCCAAGTAAAAAATTCCACGAGATAATTCTCTGATTTTCCTAAATACAAAAAAGAAATCTCTGAGAATTCCAAATTTGTCATGTTTTTCCAGGGACTAGACAACCTTCTGCAATAATTGATTGTCGTTGCATGTTTATAAAATCGAGAAACTCCTCTCGATTTTTCTCTTTGGCGTTTTTTATTTTATTTTATCTTGCATTATTTCTTTTATCTTTTATTTTAAGTCGTTAACACGTTATTAATAAAAATAGAAGATTGTGATTTTTGAAAGAACTGAATCCAAGTAAAAAATTCCACGAGATAATTCTCTGATTTTCCTAAATACAAAAAAGAAATCTCTGAGAATTCCAAATTTGTCATGTTTTTCCAGGGACTAGACAACCTTCTGCAATAATTGATTGTCGTTGCATGTTTATAAAATCGAGAAACTCCTCTCGATTTTTCTCTTTGGCGTCTTTTATTTTATTTTATCCTGCACTATTTCTTTTATCTTTTATTTTAAGTCGTTAACACGTTATTAATGAAAACAGAAGATTGTGATATATTTCCACAATATTTTCGAAACTTGAAAGACTCCAGCGAGGAGGATAATACTTGGAAGCCAGGACGGGAACTTCGAAGACGCGTAAAAAATGTATCGCAAAGTAAAAGAAAGAAAGTATGACACTGGAGAGAAAACGGTAAACTGTTATACACGACGATAAATGAAGGTCCATAAACACGTTGCAACATGGAAACTTAGTTTTCCGCCATCCAGCGGAAACTATCGGAGGTATAGATACATGTACATACATATGTGTGTGCGTGTATTGTGCGCCAACATCATAGCTTATGACTATCAACTATTTTTATTATTCACCGTGTGCAATACGTTACGGCCGTGTTTTCGCAACATTTTCCGATACCGTTCGTTGCCGAGATGCAAACCAATAAAATCGCCCTTCAACTATGCGCTGCAGTCTCGTCCGTTGTGATAATTTAAAAAAAAAAAAAGAAATTTTTTAAAAGCGACCCACAATTCGGAGCTTTACTAAACTCGCGCACGAAAATCATGGAATTTATCGAAGTGAGAAGAATCCGTCTGTTATATTTAAAAATTCCTGCGTCACGAGATCAGCGCCGCGATCTCTCCATTATTTCGCGTTATTGAAAAATTTCGCACGGGTCTTTGCAAACCATGCGTGTCGCGATCAACTTTATACCTCCCGGGACGGTTTTGCAAAAATTTTTAACGCGGAGACAAAACGCTCGCTTCCGAGAGAAAGAGCCTCGGCGTTTACATAAAATATTATCGCGGAACAAAGGTGGACGAATAGCATCGACGACACTTTTTGTCCAACACGCGGTGATATATTTCGCGTTAATACGGATCGCTGCCAGGAACTGGGACATTGTAAAGCAGCGAAATACGAGGCAGCGAGTTGACGGCGCGCGAAAGAGATCTATAAAGATAATTGAATCGAGACCTGTATTCAGGATGTATTGGAGATATATTACAATCAATAAGATCGCCGTGAATTTTTAATTTAACAATCTTAATAACATTCTAAATCGTCATGAATTATTCCAAATTTTTTTACTAGCTCCTTTAAGAGTTATTAATTTTTGAATTTTGCGATTTTAACATAGGATCTTATGTAAACGTTCAAGAGACAGGTAATAAATTATTCACAAACTATAAAAAAACAATGATAAAAATTTCATTTTCTAATATTATATTCTTCATACATGTAAAAATGTTCCCACAATGTTTTCAAACGATTTACTTGCTCCTTTTGAAATTATTATTACAAAATAACTGTGATTATCGGTTTGACGCAATATTGATGATAAAATGTGGCAACATTTTCTTGGAAATCAAGACCTATTTATATTAAAGAACACTTTGAAGTATGATTTCGTGATTTTTTTAAAATTTTTGATCAATTGGAATTCGTATTTTGCCCAACTTTAATTTTTTGATACTTTGGAGTAACTTTTGAGACAGATGATCCGTCCAATACATCCTTAAACTAACGCATTCATTGTTTCGTATATACGCAATAATTTATAGTCTTCTTAGAAGAATTTAATAATTTTAAATTTTAACAATATTATAATCTTCTTTTAATATTGTAATTGTCTCCTAAAGAATATATAATTATTTAAGGGTGTATTGGAGATATATTACAATCAATGAGATCGCCGTGAATTTTTAATTTAACAATCTTAATAACATTCTAAATCGTCATGAATTATTCCAAATTTTTTTACTAGCTCCTTTAAGAGTTATTAATTTTTGAATTTTGCGATTTTAACATAGGATCTTATGTAAACGTTCAAGAGACAGGTAATAAATTATTCACAAACTATAAAAAAACAATGATAAAAATTTCATTTTCTAATATTATATTCTTCATACATGTAAAAATGTTCCCACAATGTTTTCAAACGATTTACTTGCTCCTTTTGAAATTATTATTACAAAATAACTGTGATTATCGGTTTGACGCAATATTGATGATAAAATGTGGCAACATTTTCTTGGAAATCAAGACCTATTTATATTAAAGAACACTTTGAAGTATGATTTCGTGATTTTTTTAAAATTTTTGATCAATTGGAATTCGTATTTTGCCCAACTTTAATTTTTTGATACTTTGGAGTAACTTTTGAGACAGATGATCCGTCCAATACATCCTTAAACTAACGCATTCATTGTTTCGTATATACGCAATAATTTATAGTCTTCTTAGAAGAATTTAATAATTTTAAATTTTAACAATATTATAATCTTCTTTTAATATTGTAATTGTCTCCTAAAGAATATATAATTATTTAAGGATGTATTGGAGATATATTACAATCAATGAGATCGCCGTGAATTTTTAATTTAACAATCTTAATAACATTCTAAATCGTCATGAATTATTCCAAATTTTTTTACTAGCTCCTTTAAGAGTTATTAATTTTTGAATTTTGCGATTTTAACATAGGATCTTATGTAAACGTTCAAGAGACAGGTAATAAATTATTCACAAACTATAAAAAAACAATGATAAAAATTTCATTTTCTAATATTATATTCTTCATACATGTAAAAATGTTCCCACAATGTTTTCAAACGATTTACTTGCTCCTTTTGAAATTATTATTACAAAATAACTGTGATTATCGGTTTGACGCAATATTGATGATAAAATGTGGCAACATTTTCTTGGAAATCAAGACCTATTTATATTAAAGAACACTTTGAAGTATGATTTCGTGATTTTTTAAAAATTTTTGATCAATTGGAATTCGTATTTTGCCCAACTTTAATTTTTTGATACTTTGGAGTAACTTTTGAGACAGATGATCCGTCCAATACATCCTTAAACTAACGCATTCATTGTTTCGTATATACGCAATAATTTATAGTCTTCTTAGAAGAATTTAATAATTTTAAATTTTAACAATATTATAATCTTCTTTTAATATTGTAATTGTCTCCTAAAGAATATATAATTATTTAAGGATGTATTGGAGATATATTACAATCAATGAGATCGCCGTGAATTTTTAATTTAACATTCTTAATAACATTCTAAATCGTCAGGAATTATTCCAAATTTTTTTACTAGCTCCTTTAAGAGTTATTAATTTTTGAATTTTGCGATTTTAACATAGGATCTTATGTAAACGTTCAAGAGACAGGTAATAAATTATTCACAAACTATAAAAAAACAATGATAAAAATTTCATTTTCTAATATTATATTCTTCATACATGTAAAAATGTTCCCACAATGTTTTCAAACGATTTACTTGCTCCTTTTGAAATTATTATTACAAAATAACTGTGATTATCGGTTTGCCGCAATATTGATGATAAAATGTGGCAACATTTTCTTGGAAATTAAGACCTATTTATATTAAAGAATACTTTGAAGTATGTTTTCGTGATTTTTTAAAAATTTTTGATCAATTGGAATTCGTATTCTGCCCAACTTTAATTTTTTGGTACTTTGGATTAACTTTTGAGACAGACGGTCCGTCCAATACATCTTTAAACTAACGCGTTCATTGTTTCGTATATACGCAATAATTTATAGTCTTCTTAGAAGAATTTAATAATTTTAAATTTCAACAATATTATAATCTTCTTTTAATATTGTAATTGTCACCTAAAGAATATATAATTATTTAAGGATGTATTGGAGATATATTACAATGAATGAGATTGACGTGAATTTTTAATTTAACATTCTTAATAACATCCTAAATCGTCAGGAATTATTTCAAATTTTTCTACTTGCTCCTTTAAAAGTTATTAATTTTTGAATTTTGCGATTTTAACATAAGACTAACATAACCTTATATAAACGTTAAAGAGACAGGTAATAAATTATTCACAAACTATAAAAAAACAATGATAAAAATTTCATTTTCTAATATTATATTCTTCATACAAAATACGTAAAAATGTTCCCACAAAGTTTTCAAACGATTTACCCAACTTTATTTTTTTGATACTTTGGATTAACTTTGGAGACAGACGATCCGTCCAATACATCCTTAATGTACAAGTGAAACGGTGCGGGAGCGATCGGTAAAGAATAAACGAGGGAGATAAAATCGAGGAGAAATCTCGCGTTTTTACGACTTATATTTTCGCGATCGCTCAAATTCCGGCGAAGCGTGAGGGAAATTAAAGTCGCAAGTCTGAGGAATCGCGAATCTACGAGCGTTAATTAAGCGTTTGCATTTGCGAGATGTTGTAATATCGTCGATCGTCGATCTATATATTACGTAAATTAACGACTCCTACGGAAAATGAGATAATTCGAGCCGCTTCAGCTCGTGCTTGGAAGCGAGAATCGCGTGGGAAGAAAGCTACTCGAGCAACGTCACAAAAGAACGAGAAGAAGCTGAACTTTATTCCGTAGTTTTCACTCTCTCCCTCCTTCCCCCTTCAATGCTGCCCCGATATCGCTGCTCTCCTCTTCGTTTCCTTTTTTTTTTTTTCTTTACTCTCAATGTTTCCTACGAAGAGCAAACGGAACGTGAGCGCAGACGTCGTGGTTGATATAAATAAATGACGCTTCGCAAACAAGGAAAGAAAATATTTTGCTTGAAAGAAACATTATCGATTTACTTTACACGCGTATTCTTTACGCGAGCCTTGCTAATTTTGCAAATGCGATAAAGATACATCCTCGTAGAAAAATCCAACTCCTTCCTCCGAATTTTTCAGAGCGCACTTTCCACCTTTCGAATTCGAGGCCTCGAATCCCTCTTGATTTTCGTGCGAATCCAGTGTCGCATTTTTCATCGCATAACCGAGAGACTTGGGACTTATGGCAAGAAGTAATTTCAAGCAACGTAGAATAGCACATGCCGCAAACCAAGTCTGAATATTTCAGACAATTCCCGAATGTATCGGCTCGGTTTGGCCTCCCCCTTCCTCTCCCGGCTCTTCCCGAGTCGCGTTAATTATTCGCCATGCGGATACCGTAGGGCACGTCACGAGCGAAGCAAGAACGTAATTTCAGCTTAGCCAGCGGTGACCAAACGATGTTACGTTACACTAGTCTATTGGATCGGCGGCTTCTGCCGGCGTGTCACGTGAACCGACTGAATTTTCGCAGGGACCGAAGCTTATATATATACGTATATATACAGGATGCAGCGTATATACATATCCTACACGCGCCACTGCGTATTCGTGCAATCGCGATCTAATTATTCAAATCGCGCATGTCATTGGAAGCGATCGACGCAAGTGTATTCGTTGCGTTAGGACGCACGTGAGGTGAAATTCGAGCGAGACAAGTGACGTTTCTGTCATGCGTGCTAATGTTTTCGGCCAAAATAGCTCCAGCGGCAAGTTCCAGCCTTCCGGATCCTTGTAATGCGAGTTAATAAGCCCCCCTCCCCAAACTTCCGGGACGCTTGCAACGCGCTTCGAGGACGAGACACGCGTGATTGGCTAATGAGAGACGAGATTTGCGATCAATAAAGTGAATTAAACGGATATTCGTACACTGAGAAAAAAATCTGATTGCATTAATTTGAATTCTGATAGATTCAACCAGTCTGTTGGAAAATGGACGAACCAGAATTCTTGTAGGAATTATCAGATGCATCTGATTAATTTCTTCCTGTTAAATTTACCAAATTTTCTGATTAATAACTCGCCAGCACCAAGTCGTGTAAAATTTGTTTCCATCTAATCTCAAAAGTCTGTTTAATATTCTAAATTCCAACACGATTATTGCATAAATTCAATCCAGATTGTTGAATAAATTATTTTAAGTTCAGTTTGTTAGAAATTAAACTGATGAACAGTGATGCGAGAATTAAATATTATTTAATTACTCGCACTGAGAAAAAAATCTGATTGCATTAATTTGAATTCTGGTAGATTCAACCAGTATCTGTTGGAAAATGGACGAACCAGAATTCTTGTAGGAATTACCAGATGAATTTGATTAATTTCTTCCTGTTAAATTTACAAAATTTTCTAGTTAATAATACTAAACTCGCCAGCATCAAGTCGTCTAAAATTTTTTCCATCTAATCTCAAAAGTCTGTTTAATATTGTGAATTCCAACACGATTATTGAATAAATTCAATTCACATCGTTGAATAAATTATTTTAAATTCAGTTTGTTAGAAATTAAACTGATAAACAGTGATGCAAGAATTAAATATTATTTAATTACTCGCAATGAGAAAAAAATCTGGTTGCATTAATTAGAATTCTAGTTCAATCAGTATGTCTGTTAAAAAATGGACGAACCAGAATTCTTGTAGGAATTATCAGATGCATCTGATTAATTTCTTCCTGTTAAATTTACCAAATTTTCTGATTAATAACTCGCCAGCACCAAGTCGTCTAAAATTTGTTTCCATCTAATCTCAAAAGTCTGTTTAATATTCTAAATTCCAACACGATTATTGCATAAATTCAATCCAGATTGTTGAATAAATTATTTTAAGTTCAGTTTGTTAGAAATTAAACTGATAAACAGTGATGCAAGAATTATTTAAAAATATTTAATTACTCGCACTGAGAAAAAAATCTGGTTGCATTAATTAGAATTCTGGTTCAATCAGTATGTCTGTTAAAAAATGGACGAACCAGAATTCTTGTAGGAATTACCAGATGAATTTGATTAATTTCTTCCTGTTAAATTTACAAAATTTTCTGATTAATAATACTAAACTCGCCAGCATCAAGTCGTCTAAAATTTTTTCCATCTAATCTCAAAAGTCCATTTAATATTCTGAATTCCAACATGGGATTAATGGATAAATTCAATCATTCAGATTATTGAATAAATTATTTTAAATTCAGTTTGTTAGAAATTATACTGATAAACAGTGATGTAAGAAGAGGCTGCA